GGAACCTACTGGAAGAGAGAAGCACATGCCAGGTCCTGCAGAGAAGAAGATGGGTAAGTAGTCCCAATGATGGCATTCCACTGATATAAATCAGTGCAGTACATTGCCTGAAGCAAGAGACAACTTCTCCCAGTAAACATGGATCAAATATATACACTAACTGCATAGGCTGCAGCCAGCTCTTATTCATAAGCATCACCCACTGGGTGGAAATTAAACTGTACAACACAATAGAAAATCTGCTAACACAAGTACACAGCAGTGGACTAAGGTAAGTTTCCTGAGACCTCTGTATCCTGGCCCCACAGGAGGCAGTGAGCCTATTCATATGCCCAGTACATCACTACTACAACCAGCATGTGGGAAAGCCACAAAAATGCTATCTACAATCAAGGAACTTATACATACTTTTCACTGAAAGAACCTAGAACCAAAGCCAAAGGACCCTACCACAACATACATTATAGACAACTCCTCAAGGGAGGAAAACCTCATCCAAATGAAAGCAAATTCAAAACATAAGAAGAAGAGAGAGCTTACCCAGATGAGAATGAACCAGAAAAACAACTTTGAAAGTATGAATAGACATGTATAAAAACACCCTTAAAGTATCACACTCACTTTCTAGCAACGAATCCTAACTAATATGAAATCTTTGCAATATTGAAGAATTTTAAATAGTGATTTTTTAAAAGCTCAGTTATATTCAAGAAAAAGTTGAAAGCCTATACAAAGAAAACAAAACAAAAAAAAATTCAGGATATTAAAGGAGACAGATACCACTTTTTAAAAACCAAACAGAATTTCTGGAAATAAAAAATTTTTTGAAAGAATTGCAAAATATAGCTGAAATCTATAACAGTAGACTAGACTAAGTGGAAGAAAGAGTTTCAACACTGGAAAACAGGTCTTTCAAATTAACCCAGTCAGATAAAAATAAAGAAAGAAAAACTTTTTACTGAACAAAGCTTTGTGAAATACAGCTTTATTATGTAAAGTGTCCAAACCTGTGAATTATACTTGTTCTAATGGAAAAAGATGAAAAAGTGAAAAGTACATAAAACTTATTTGAGAAAATAAATCAGGAAAACTTCCCTGGTCTTGGGAGGTATTTAGGAATCAAGATATAAGAAGCTCAGAGAACTCCAGGAAGATACATTGTCAGAGAACCTCACCAAAACATTTAGTCATCAGACTATCCAAAGTCAATGTAAAAGAAAAAATTTTAAGTGTTAAGAGAGAAATGTCTAATTATTCATAAATAAAATCCCATCAGACCAGCAGTGGACTTCTCAGAAAAAAAAAACCTTCAGGTCAGAAAATATTGGGGGCATATTTTTAGCCTCCTTAAAGAAAAAGAAATGCCAGCCAAGAATTTTGTATTCTGCCAAAGTAAGGTTCATAAATAAAGGTTAAGTAAAGTCTTTCCCAGACAAACAAATGTTAAGGGAATTCATCACCACTAAATCATTCCTTGAGAAATCCTCACAGGAGTTCTAACATGGAAAGTAAAGGACAATACTCACTATTATAAGAGGACACATAAGTACAGAGCTCATAGAGCCTATAAAGCAATTACATAATTGAAACTCCAAGGCAACTGGCTAATAACACTATGAAAGAACAAAACCTCACATGAATGCTAACCTTGAATGTAAGTGGTCTACATGCTCTACTTAAAAGATATAGAGTGGCAAATTGGGTGGTGAGGGGTGTGAGAAACAAGACCCAATCAACTGCTGCTTACAAGAGACCCACCTAGTATAGTAGCTAAAGGCAACTACAGACTCAAAGTAAAGAGGTGGAAAAATATATATTATGAAAATGAAAAAAAAAAGCAAGCAGGAGTAGCCAACCTCATATAATATAAAACAAACTTTAAGCCAAGAACAATGAAAAAAAAAAAAACAAGACAAAGAGGGTCATTGTATAATAATATAGGGTTAAAGACACCAAGAAAATGTAACTATTCTAAATATATATGCACCCAACACTGGAACACCCAGATTCATAAAACAAATACTACTAGATCTAAGAAAACAGATTGATAGCAATACAATAACTGGGGACTTCAACACCTCACTAACATCACTAAACAGATCACTGAGATAGAGAATCAACAAAGAAACTCTGGATTTAAACTGGACTATAGAAAAAATAAATCTATGTTGATAGAACATTCTATCAACAACCACAGAATATACATTCTTCTCATCTATGCATGGAACATTCTCCAATTCACCATACACTTACCCATAAAGCAAGTCTCAAAATAGTAAAAAAAAGTGATGCCATATCAAGTATTTTTACAGACCACACTGAATAAAATTGGAAATCAATATCAAGGGAAACTCTCAAAACTACATAAGACATGGAAACTCAACAACTTATTCCTGAATGACTGTTGGACAAATAATAAAAGTAAGGCAAAAATCAAAAAATGTTTCAAAACAAATGAAAATAGAGACAAATACAACATACCAAAACCTCTGTGATATGGCAACAGCAGTGCTAAGACAAATGTTAGTAGCATTAAATGCCTACATCAAAAAAAATAGATCTCAAATTAACAACCTAATGTCACACCTCAAAGAACTAGAAAAACAAGAATAAGCCAAAGGCAAAGCTAGCCAAAAAAAAAAAAAGGCATTAACAAAGATCAGTGCAGAACTAAATGAGACTGACAACAAGAAAATAATACGAAGATCAATAAAGAAAACATTAATTATTTGAAGGATAAATGAGATAGACCACTAGATAGATTAACAAAAAAAGAGAGAAGATTCAAATAAGTATAATCAGAAGTGATAAAGGTAACATTACAACTGATATCACAGATATAAGATCAAAGGCTACTATGGATACCTCTATGTGCACAAACTAGAAAACCTAGAGGAAATGGATAAATTCCTGGAAAAATACAACCTCCTAAGATTGAACCAGGAAGAAAGAGAAATCCTGAACATACCAATAACACTTGATGAATCAAATCAATATTAAAAAAATCTTCCAACAACAAAAGTTAAAAGCCAGAACTAGACAAAGTCACAGCCAGATATTACCAGACATAAAAAGAAGAGCTGGTAATCGACTCAATGAAACTATTCCAAAAAAAAATCTAGCAGGAAAGATTCTTTTCTGACTCATTCTACAAAACTAGTATCAGCCTGGTACCAAAATCTTGCAGAAACACAATAACTAAAGAAAACTATGGGACAATATCCCTGATGAACATAGACACAAAAATCCTCAACAAAATACTAGCAAACTGAATCCACGAGCACTTCAAAAAGTTAAGTTGCCACAATCAAGTGGCTTTATTCCTGGGATGCAAGGATATTTGAACATATGCAAATCAGTAAACATGAGTCACCATATAAACAGAACTAAAAACAAAAACCATATGATCATCTCAATAGATGCAGAAGCAGCATTAGATAAAATCAAACATTCATTCTTGATGGACACTCAACAAATTAGGCATTGAAGGAACATACCTCAAAATAATGAGCCATATGACAAACCCACTACCAACATCATGCTTAATGGGGAAAAGTTGAAAGCATTCCCCCTAAGAACGAGAACAAGACAAGGATGTTCACCCTCACCACTCTTATTCAACATAGTACTGGAAGTACTAGACAAAGCAATAAGGAAAGAGAAAGAAATTAAAGACAGCCAAATTGGAAAAGAGGAAGTAAAATTATTTCTGTTCACTGATGACATAATTATCTACTTGGAAAAGCTTAAATACACTTCCGAAAGACTCTTGAACTTGATAAACAAGTAAAAGTCCAATAAAAAAGATCAACATACAAAAATCAGTAGCATTTCTATACACCCATAATATGTAAAATGAGAACCAAATCAAGATCTCAATCCCATTTACAATAGCCAAAAATAAAATGCCTAGGAATACATTTAGCCAAAGAGGTGAAAGAATCTCTACAAAGAGAACTGCAAAATGCATATGAAAGAAAGCATAGATGACACAAACAAATGAAAAAAATTCTACATTCATGGATTGGAAGAATCAGTGTTGTTAAAATGGCCATATAGCCCAAAGCAATATATAAATTGAACATAATTTCTATCAAATTACCAAATTTATTTCTCCAATAATTAGGAAAAATAATTTTAAAGTTCATATGGAACCAAAAAAAGAGCCCAAATAGCCAAAGCAATCCTCAGCAAAAAGAACAAATCTGGAGATGCCACATTGCCTGACTTCAAATTATACTACAAGGCTATAATAACAAAACAGCCTGGTGGTGGTACAAAAATAGACACATAGATGAAGGGAACCCAGAAGTAAAGCTACATACCTACAACCAACCGAACTTCAATAAAGTCTACAAAAGGAAACAATGGGGAAAGGACATCCTATTCAATAAGTGGTGCTGGGAAAACTGAAGAAAAACAAAACCGAACCCCTGTCTCTCACCATATACCAAAATTAATTCAAGATCGATTAAAGACTTAAATGTAACACCTGAAACTATAAAAATCCTAGAAGAAAACTTAGGAAAACCTCTTCTAGATTTTGGCCTAAGCAAAAAATTTATGAAGATACCCAAAGCAAATGCAACAAAATCAAAAATAGAGTAATAAGATTTAATTTTAAAAAAAGTCTGCACAGCAAAAGATAGACAGATAGGAGTTCAGTTTACTAAAAAAAAAAAGAAAAAGAAAATACCTCTGCACAGCAAAAGAAATCATCAACAGAGTAAACAAACTACCAAAATGCAAATTACGCCACTGACAAAGACCAATATTCAGAATCTACAAGGGACTCAAATTCAACAAAGAAAAAACAACCCCATTAAAAAGTGGGCAAAGGACACAATCAAGCATTTCTCAAAAGAAGAAATACAAGGGGCCAAGAAACATGGGAATAATTGCTTGACCTTACTAATCATCAGACCCCACTAATCTCTTTCTTTTGTCAATGGACCAGTCTCAGGTATGTCTTTATCAGCAGCTTGAAAACGGACTAATACACAATCCTTTTCTTGGGGTTGCACTACTTTCCAGTGAATGCATAGTGACAGAAGTACTACTGCCTACACAACACACCTGCATCAACTAGAGCTTTGCTTTACCTTGGTGCAATTTTTGGAAAAATGAAAACCTAAAAATATGAAAAGTAATCAATTTTATATCTTTTTAAAAATATAATAATAAAAGTCAAAAAATGAAAAGGGAAAACTTATACGCTCTTGGTGACAATGTAAATTTTTTCAACCTCTATGGAAAACAGTATGGAGATTTATTAAAGAACTAAAAATCGAACTACCATTTGATCCAGCAATCCCACTACTGAGTATGTAACCAAAGGAAAATAAATCATTATGTAAAACCGACACCCTGTGCTTGTATGTACATTACGACACTCTTCACAATAGCAAAAATAATAGAACTAACCTAAGTGTACATCAACAGTTGACTGGATAAAGAAAATGTGGTACATATACATCATGGAATACCAGACATACAAAGAAGAGCTGGTACTAGTCTCACTGAAACTACTCCAGAAAGTCTAGCAAGAATGATTTTTTCCTAACTAATTCTATAAAACTTGTATCATCCAGCCATAGAAAGAATGAATTCATGTCATTTGGAGCAGCATAGATGAAGCTAAAGTGAACTAACCAACTCAGAACCAGAAACTAAAATAACACATGTTCTCACTTATAAGTGGGAGCTAAGCAGTGGGTACACATGGACATAAAGATGGAAATAATAAACACAGGGGATTCCAAGAGGGGTGGGGGGTGGCGGGAGAAAGGGCAAGGGTCAAAAAATTATCCCAAAGATAACCAGAGGTTACTTATATTAAGATGAGTTTAGTCTAGCTAAAAGCAAAATTTAAAAAGAAGCTTATTTGTCTGTAAACTAATCTTTTGTCCTCATTAACCAGACAGCTACCTTTGTTGTTGTTGTTTCATTTTGGTTTGGTTTGGCTTTGGTTTTGAGACAGACTTGGAGCACAGTAACACAAACATGACTCACTGCAGCCTCGACCTCATGGGCTCAAGCATTCCTCCTGCCTCAGCCTCTTGAGTAGTTGGGACCACAGACATGCACAACCACACCTGGCTGATTTCTTTTTTTGTAATTTTTGTAGAGATGAGGTCTTGCCATGTTTCTCTGGCCGGTCTTGAACTCCTGGACTCAAGCAATTCTCCCACTAAGGTCACCCAAAGTGCTGGGATTGTAGATGTGAGTCACTGTGTCCATCCCAGTCAGCTTTCTAATTACTGGTTCTATATCCAAATTTCATTTAAGCTTCACAGTACCCTGTAAGGTACTATTACTATCCTAATTTTTCAGATAATAACACTGAGATTGACAGAGGTCAGATAGCTTGACTAAGGTCAAGATCCAGTAAAACGAAAAGCCAGATCTTCACCAGACTGTCTCCAGCCACTTGTGTGGTTAATTTATCTGTTAAATTGCTACACATAAAGCTTTTATTTGTCTGCCAAGCTTTGTTTAGTCTTCCTGATGCTGGACAAATTCAAGCAGTAACAAAACTGGGATTCTAGGCCCAAAACTGAGGGCCAGACCATTTTCTGTGACCACCCAGAGTCTTAATCCCTGACTTGATATACTGACAAGCTGATATACCCAGACAGTGTTTCCATCTAGTCGTTCTTTAGTATTAAAAATATGAACCTTTAAACTATTAGAAGTAACACACCCAAAGTAACACACCCAAATTAGGAAATCTATTAAAAATGACCTCTTAATAAATATTCTTTCACTCAGTAACTTATTTAATGAATCACTAAAATATCTGAGTATATCTGTAAATAGATTTTTCAGTTTTAGACACATAAAGGTTTGTTTATAAAGATGTATTCAATGTTGACAATAAAGGCAACAGCAATTTGGGACCTGTAAATTCATATCACCCCAGACAATTGTTCTGATCCACTTTGCTCTACAAGTAGCATGCTGATGAAGAGATAAAAGTTTTTACATGTTTTAACCAAACTGACAATAACAAAATTGTATTATACTGACAGCATTTGGTTCACAACATGTATCTTATTTTTAAAAGTATTTGTAAAATAAAGCTTCCATTTATTTGATCTTTATGAGAAAGAGGTCAGTATTATTGTCAAGTATTAGTCCATTGAGACCTTTATATTACAGTACAAATGACTTTCATCTGAAATTCACAAAGAAAAATATTGATTACCCAGATTGCTTATTGGCGTAACAGTCTTGTTAAATTAAGTATCCTGGATTATGAGAAATCCTATTACATTTCTGTAATGATTAAAGCACTCCTTAATAAGTATTTGTGTTGACTTTACTGAATTAATAAATATAGCAAAGGAAAATGATGATCTCTGAGACCTGAGAATTTTGTCAGTTCCTAAAATGCATTCTCAATATTCTCACCATAATTAACACCAAGTAGACTCTCAAAAATTAATTATTTTTTCTTCAGAAATATTAATTTCAGTCTTGGAAATTTGGAAGTTCAAAGCGACTACATGGTTGAAGATTCTATGGTCCACTGCATCCTTGCATTGAAGTCCCATTACTAAAAAATCACTAACAAAAGAGTAGTACTAAATACACTAACAAAAGAGTAGTACTAAATAATATACACGGGTTACTTCTGATCAACCAATTTTCAATGATTATTCAATTTAAACACAATCAACCCATATTTTATTGTATAGACAAAATGGGGCAGTAGAAATAGCATGGGCTTTAGAATCCAAATCATGTTTAAATCAGGATTCATTGAAATTACCATTTGATAGAATATCGGGGAATACTAGACAATTCATGAGAATCTTCACCGATCACAAGTCTTTCATATTTAAAATGGTGTAATAATTCCTTTCTGACAGGTTCTTACAAGGAAAGGATCTAGTACGGGGCTTGTCACACAGCTGGAACTCAAGAATATTTGTTCCAGTCCTGAAACAGGCAAGAATGTGGAGAGTCGAGAAAGAAAGGCAAGAGGTCTTAAAATAGTAACAACTATTATTATTTGAGCATGAATATTGATCTTTTTGTTCATTTTATAAGTGATACTTAAAAGCAGGTCATACTTTTCAACTCTAACAAATAGAAATCAGAAAGGGAATATAGTCTCTGTCATTCTATCCATTGCCATAAGAATCTAGGAAAATCAGAGAGAAATCAAAACATGACTAAGAAATGTGACATCTTAAAACCTTTTTTTGTCCAACTTTGTCAGAATTTTCATAGGTTTACCTTTTATTTCAGCTCAAACATCATTATTTTGTCTAAGTAGGCCATCTCATTCTTCTCAAGTGTAAATTCAGCTCATGCTCTCAGAATAGGATCCTTTCCCCCTAAGGCCTTTGCTTTCCATTTAATACCTCTGATACTTTTCTCCAAAATCCCTATAATGAATATTAACTTACATGCAAGGAAAGCAAGGAGGGTTTCAAAATGGGCCAGGGATGGCATTCTTAAAAATAACTCTGAGGAACAACATTCATATCCAATAAAAATATGAGCAGAATTCAAAATAGTTATGGTGTGGGATTTGTACATTTATCTGCTCTTTGAAAGGGTAAAATAAATATGAAAAGTTCCATAAAATCCAAACCAAAAGTCACCTGCCATCACTACCACTCTGCCCTTTCCAATAAACACTTGTTGGCAGAAGCAAGAGGGAAGTCTAAGTTTCTTGCCTCTTGAAGTGACAAGCACATTCTTTCCTCATTCATCAAGCTGCTTTTCTCCCTCCAAAGCTCCAGCTGTTCTCAAAACCCAGACATTGTTCCCTTCACTGGCTGGCCTCTAGCTCTAACTCTCAGCCAAGACTGCTTCTCTCTGAAACCTCTCAGGGACACTAACAGCCAGGACTTGGAAGGCTGTGCCTACTTAAGGCAAGTTGAGTTTTTGGCAGGAAGAAAAAGAGGGAGAGAAAAGGGAAGAGAGATGAATGGGAAATACTTTGTGTCAGCACAAAACCTCAAACAATTGTGTTTGGACAATGCCTGATGCTCTGGTGCTGCCAAGGGATGGCTGATGAGTCTCAAAGTGGTTTTCAGATTTTGAGACTGTGGGATCACTGTGGCATGCAGTCTGGGACCCCCAGGTTCTACTGTGGAAAATTTGAAATACTTAAACAACATAAACATGCCAATTATCACTACAATTTCTTTCTGTTATCATATGAATATGAACACCCATAGGACCATGAGATACTTGGGGAGGTGGGGCATGAATTTTTAAACCCATTCATGTATATAATTAAGCTCCACAAAGGACAATGCGAATTAATTCTTTCTTGGAGATTATAAGTGGTTTATTTATGTTTCCCAAATTAATATCATTCCTTCATTGAAGTGTAGTGGAGATGGAAGAAAAGGGAGAAAAGGCATATTTGTTCATTTCCAAATCCCAGGAAATCAACACTCAGAAGCAAAGGCAAATACCTGCAACTTTTTAGAAATTCTGGTTTTTAGAAAATGTTAAAGGTTTCCTATACTCAAACTATCCTGACTTGGCTAGTAACCAAGAATAAATTTTTTAAAACTTTACACGAAGCTGTTAACCACTGTCTACAACACTTCTTGAAATTACAACACATTAACTTGTCATGACATTAACAAGAGATGTTAGCCAAAGACTAACCAGTTGAACTAGTTAGAATATAGATTTGGTAATGTGTGAAAAGGATGTAAAAAACAGAGGAAAGACTAGTTTCTTTCTCACTCTCATAACAGTATGGCTACGCACCAGGCAAAGCCAATAATTCTGGCTGTTTCTGTTTCACCATCCCAATGACATTTCTGTTATCTGCAAGGTCAAAGATGGTCTTCATTTCAGCCAAGAGAAGTAGAAAAAAGGGGAAAAAAGGGAGAGTTCACCACTTCCTTGTAAGGAAATTTGCACATATTCCCACCTACATCCTACCAAACATAACAAGGTCATGTGGCTATAGTCTGAAAAAGTATCCTTTATTTTGGGCATCCATGTGCCAGCTAAAGATCAAGAAATCTATTGATTTAGTATAAGAATTGGTAAGCTATACCAATGAGCCAAATCTGGCCCACTGCCTGGTTATAAGTGAGCTCCAAGCTAAGAATAGTTTTCCCATTTTTCAGTGGTTAAAAGA